GGACCACTGACATCTCAGCAGTACGTATGCTGAACCTTTGCGATCGAGAACAGATTATAGAAAAAGGCACACTGGTTGGTACTTGTAAGGAAGTGCAGGTTAGAGCATTTTTGGGTTTGTGCTCCTATTACCGGCGATTTGTGAAGAACTTTGCAGATATAGCCAAACCTCTGCACAAGCTAACCGAGGAGAAGCGACTATTCTGCTGGGATGAAAGTTGCAATATCACATTCCAGGAGCTCAAGGACCGTCTGTGCAAAACACCTATTTTAAGATACCCTGATGCAAGCAAAGAATTTATAGTTGACACAGACGCTGACAATGAAACTATGGTCAGTTTTGATGTTCAGTCACTATTCACATGCCTACCTATTGAAGACTGCATATCAATTGTAACTAGGAAGCTAGAATATAATAACATGCCTGCTGAATATGCAGTATTCATGAAAAATTATCCATGAAAATGTCTGCCATAAGTGGACTTACGAGTAGAGGAGACATTTGTGAAAAGACTATCAACGTCTAAAGATAACAACATAGATTTAGGTGGAATACGAATATCTTTAATTTTGGAAATGAGATCTAAACTATTTTTAAGGCTATAAATTGGGTTGTAACCAGATTTCTCCCGAAGGAGAAAGTTTAATTTTTTAGCAAGGAAATAAGCTGGTGTACCTATATACACATTAAGAATACGTATACGTAATATAGCGAAGACTGGCATAATTTTATGATGAAAGGGTGGCAATTGGTGCCGGACTACGCAATATTACGAATACGTACTATTTGCGCGGATTGCCATCCATGGGATTTTTCTAGTGTCTTTTCTTATCTAGATTAAATAGCACCTCTCGCCCTCCCTCAATTGCGTGCACTAATCCCGTCACCACTACTCACGGCACCACTACTCACGGCACCACTACTCCCGGCACCACTACTCCCGGCACCACTACTCCCGGCACCACTACTCCCGGCACCACTACTCCCGGCACCACTACTCCCGGCACCACTACTCCCGGCACCACTACTCCCGGCACCACTACTCCCGGCACCACTACTCCCGGCACCACTACTCCCGGCACCACTACTCCCGGCACCACTACTCCCGGCACCACTACTCCCGGCACCACTACTCCCGGCACCACTACTCCCGGCACCACTACTCCCGGCACCACTACTCCCGGCACCACTACTCCCGGCACCACTACTCCCGGCACCACTACTCCCGGCACCACTACTCCCGGCACCACTACTCCCAACACCACTACTCCCAACACCACAACTCCCAACACCACTACTCCCAACACCACAACTCCCAACACCACTGTTCCAGGAAATCTCTTTCTTTTCAATCCAGGTAAGACACATCATTGTGTTTAATTAAACGGGTGGTTACGAATAAGATATTAATGTTTTTATTGTAAGGAATTTCCGCAAAGTAACGCCCGATTCTAAAAAAAATTATAAATTAAAAAATAAGCACATACGGCAGGGAGGGGAAGTACGGAGTGACCCTACAACTCCTGCCTCTCCCCTCACATCAACTCCCACCCCCTAGTTCAGGCAACTTACTTCTTTTTCTTACTTATTCAGATAGAGATGTTATATTGCTACCTTCTGATTCAGACTTTTAAAGACGGTCGTTCTGATGATCGCAAAGAATAGCGACCGCGCAGAATTCGACGAGTTTCAAACATGCTCTATTTATTGGCCTTTAGTAAAACATTTCAGTAGATTTTAATAGTCTCAATTTCTACCTAGCATAACCATCGAAAGAATCTGCGGAATTCGACGTATATTACACAACGTTTAACAGTTTCTCACTAAAATTTTTATTTTGCGGGTAAACAGACACATCTTTTTTGAATTCTTCTCATAACTAACTGTCTCGGACTCCCACGTTTCAAACCAGGATAATGCAGAGCCCCGAAGGGCCTTACCGGCTTTTGCAACCTTATCAAAGCTGCTCCATTTAAACTCTTCTCCTAACTTATCGAAGCTTTCGCACCAGGCAGCTGCTTCGTAGTTGCTTTTGTCCGGATCAATAATTGGCACCGCTACGTCGTCGTGCCGCTTATTTGAAATCATTGCATTTCGGATGGCTTCCAACAGCCCTTTCACCAACTCCACACCCATATTGAAATATGCTGTAATTTAAAAGAAAACCATTAACAAAAAGCACGGGGGACAGGAGGAACTTTTTTATGGAAGGTGCGTTACCAGGGAACGTGTACAGCATTAAGAAGATTGTTCTTCCGCCGAGATCGGAAACGATTGTTCCGGTTAGTCTTCCTCGAAACGCTGGGCAAGCTCACCGTTGTGTACGTGCGGAAAGGGTAAACAACGACCTTCCATGGAAAGTAGCTCGAACCTTGGTCAGGACCACTGACATCTCAGCAGTACGTATGCTGAACCTTTGCGATCGAGAACAGATTATAGAAAAAGGCACACTGGTTGGTACTTGTAAGGAAGTGCAGGTTAGAGCATTTTTTGGGTTTGTGCTCCTATTACCGGCGATTTGTGAAGAACTTTGCAGATATAGCCAAACCTCTGCACAAGCTAACCGAGGAGAAGCGACTATTCTGCTGGGATGAAAGTTGCAATATCACATTCCAGGAGCTCAAGGACCGTCTGTGCAAAACACCTATTTTAAGATACCCTGATGCAAGCAAAGAATTTATAGTTGACACAGACGCTGACAATGAAACTATGGTCAGTTTTGATGTTCAGTCACTATTCACATGCCTACCTATTGAAGACTGCATATCAATTGTAACTAGGAAGCTAGAATATAATAACATGCCTGCTGAATATGCAGTATTCATGAAAAATTATCCATGAAAATGTCTGCCATAAGTGGACTTACGAGTAGAGGAGACATTTGTGAAAAGACTATCAACGTCTAAAGATAACAACATAGATTTAGGTGGAATACGAATATCTTTAATTTTGGAAATGAGATCTAAACTATTTTTAAGGCTATAAATTGGGTTGTAACCAGATTTCTCCCGAAGGAGAAAGTTTAATTATTTAGCAAGGAAATAAGCTGGTGTACCTATATACACATTAAGAATACGTATACGTAATATAGCGAAGACTGGCATAATTTTATGATGAAAGGGTGGCAATTGGTGCCGGACTACGCAATATTACGAATACGTACTATTTGCGCGGATTGCCATCCATGGGATTTTTCTAGTGTCTTTTCTTATCTAGATTAAATAGCACCTCTCGCCCTCCCTCAATTGCGTGCACTAATCCCGTCACCACTACTCACGGCACCACTACTCCCGGCACCACTACTCCCGGCACCACTACTCCCGGCACCACTACTCCCGGCACCACTACCCCCGGCACCACTACTCCCGGCACCACTACTCCCGGCACCACTACTCCCGGCACCACTACTCCCGGCACCACTACTCCCGGCACCACTACTCCCGGCACCACTACTCCCGGCCCCACTACTCCCGGCACCACTACTCCCGGCACCACTACTCCCGGCACCACTACTCCCGGCACCTACTACTCCCGGCACCACTACTCCCGGCACCCACTCCCGGCACCACTACTCCCGGCACCACTACTCCCGGCACCACTACTCCCGGCACCACTACTCCCGGCACCACTACTCCCAACACCACTACTCCCAACACCACAACTCCCAACACCACTACTCCCAACACCACAACTCCCAACACCACTGTTCCAGGAAATCTCTTTCTTTTCAATCCAGGTAAGACACATCATTGTGTTTAATTAAACGGGTGGTTACGAATAAGATATTAATGTTTTTATTGTAAGGAATTTCAGCAAAGTAACGCCCGATTCTAAAAAAAATTATAAATTAAAAAATAAGCACATACGGCAGGGAGGGGAAGTACGGAGTGACCCTACAACTCCTGCCTCTCCCTCACATCAACTCCCACCCCTAGTTCAGGCAACTTACTTCTTTTTCTTACTTATTCAGATAGAGATGTTATATTGCTACCTTCTGATTCAGACTTTTAAAGACGGTCGTTCTGATGATCGCAAAGAATAGCGACCGCGCAGAATTCGACGAGTTTCAAACATGCTCTATTTATTGGCCTTTAGTAAAACATTTCAGTAGATTTTAATAGTCTCAATTTCTACCTAGCATAACCATCGAAAGAATCTGCGGAATTCGACGTATATTACACAACGTTTAACAGTTTCTCACTAAAATTTTTATTTTGCGGGTAAACAGACACATCTTTTTTGAATTCTTCTCATAACTAACTGTCTCGGACTCCCACGTTTCAAACCAGGATAATGCAGAGCCCCGAAGGGCCTTACCGGCTTTTGCAACCTTCTCAAAGCTGCTCCATTTAAACTCTTCTCCTAACTTATAGAAGCTTTCGCACCAGGCAGCTGCTTCGTAGTTGCTTTTGTCCGGATCAATAATTGGCACCGCTACGTCGTCGTGCCGCTTATTTGAAATCATTGCATTTCGGATGGCTTCCAACAGCCCTTTCACCAACTCCACCTCCATATTGAAATATGCTGTAATTTAAAAGAAAACCATTAACAAAAAGCACGGGCGATCCCACTCATAATGCTATTTTCATTAATAATTAAACAAAGAACTAGGAAAAATATTGGTTTAGAAATAGATAAACTTAAATTGTCCTATAAAGCAAAGAGCTGTTAAAATCTTCCTCAAAACAAGGAACAAATTATGAAAGAAATTTAGCTAATTTAAGTTAATATATTTACAGAAAATATCTTCACACATATTTTAACCAAAAGACAATAAGCAAAAATAAGCAAGACATAGTGGAAATATACTTGCTAATGTGAAGAATAACCAAGTACTCAAACGAATTTTTTCGAATTCGGAGTATTTCTAAGGTTATCCTCAATGACGCTTTTATTTCACGGCCCTTTTACAACTGAACAACACTCAGCACATCTAAATCAAACTTATAAACATTATTGAATATTAAATAAAATCATAAAAAAACATTATAAAAACCATTTTAGAACACAACGTTTAACAGTTTCTCACTAAAATTTTTATTTTGCGGGTAAACAGACATAATATCTTTTTTTGAATTCTTCTCATGATTAACTGTCTCAGACTCCCACGTTTCAAACCAGGATAATGCAGAGCCCCGAAGGGCCTTACCGGCTTTTGCAACCTTCTCAAAGCTGCTCCATTTAAACTCTTCTCCTAACTTATCGAAGCTTTCGCACCAGGCAGCTGCTTCGTAGTTGCTTTTGTCCGGATCAATAATTGGCACCGCTACGTCGTCGTGCCGCTTATATGAAACCATTGCATTTCGGACGGTTTCCAAAAGCCCTTTCACCAACTCCACATCCATATTGAAATATGCTGTAATTTAAAAGAAAACTTATTAACAAAAAGCACGGGCGATCCCACTCATAATGCTATTTTCATGGAAAATTAAACAAAGAACTAGGAAAAATATTGGTTTAGAAATAGATAAACTTAAATTGTCCTATAAAGCAAAGAGCTGTTAAAATCTTCCTCATAACAAGGAACAAATTATGAAAGGAATTTAGCTAATTTAAGGTAATATATTTACAGAAAATATCTTCACACATATTTTGACCAAAATACAGTAAGCAAAAATAAGCAAAACATAGTGGAAATATACTTAACTTGCTAATGTGAAGTATAACCAAGTACTCAAACGTATTTTTTGAATTCGGAGTATTTCTAAGGTTATCCTCAATGACATCTATCTTGTCTACAATCAAATTATAAACATTATTGAATATTAATTAAAATCATAAAAAAACATTATAAAAACCATTTTCACAGTTTTTAAACATTAAATCTGCAGTATAAATATATTTCAGAAAACACGCGGCCCAAAACGGTTCAACGCATACAAGTAATAAGATAAAGCAACTATTATTTTATTTTTTTTAATTTATAGAAGAGGGGGCCAATGAGCATGCGGCTCACCTGATGTTAAGTGACTACCGCCGCCCATGATCAACTGCAACACCCTGGGAATTGCAGGTGCATTGCCGGCCCTTTAGAAAGGAGTAAGCTCTTTTCGCGTAGGTCCCAAGGTCTTATCGGCCCGGAAAAATCGCCGGTGGTAAACTATTCCACAGAGAGGTTGTACGCGGAAGAAAACTCCTTTTAAAACGTACTGTGGTGGATCGCCAAGCATCCAAACTAAAATCTTACTTAAACACATTCCAAAATAGGAAATATATTTTTAAAATCCAAATAAACATTTTCATGCAATTTTAATACATTTATTTGATAGAATCAGCCATTACTTTGGGTAAATTCATTATAATAAAGACATTTATATCTATTTGCAACCATCCGCTTAATTAAACACAATGATGTCTTACCTGGATTAAAAAGCAACTCTCGCCCTCCCTCAATTGCGTGCACTAATCCAGTTACCACTATTCTCAACACCACTACTCCTAATACCACTACTCCCGGCACCACTACTCCCAACTCTCAAAATCTCTTGCTCTTCAATCCAGGCAAGACATCATTGTGTTTAAACGGATGGTTTCGAGTTAGGTATTAATGTCTTAATTGTAAGGAATTTCCGCAAAGTAACGCATGATTCTATAAAATAAACATTTATAAATAAAAACTAAGCACGCACGGCAGGGCGAGGAAGTAGAGGGAGACTACGTACGGAACGTAAGTTTTCACCCGTTCCTGATGAAAAATCCCAGTCATCTGAAGATTCTTCTTCTAATACTCTAGCAAGCTTGCTTTCATTTAAAGGCGGTCGTTCTGATGATCCTAAGGAGCGATCATCAGAACGACCGCGGGGATCGCGTAGATTACGACGAGTTTCACTGCGTCCGCGTGGCATTTCAATAAATCACCTATTTCATTCTATGTCACTCTTACTGCGTGGGTGGCGCGATACTAAAGTGACGCAATAATCTATTGGTCAACGGAGGTGCATAGACAGCGGGGATGGTTTCACCTAGCAATGCAGGTAAGCAGGACGAAAATAAGTGACTAAGATGCCAAGCTACGCAATTTTACGAATACGTAATATTGCGAAGACAGGCATCATATTGTAATGAAAGGGTTGTAATTGGTGCCGGACTACGCAATAATACGAATATGTACTATTGCGTAGATTGGCATCCATGGGATACTTTTTCTAGTGGGTGCCAGCTAAGTAATAAAGCGTAGCACACTATTTGTATGGTGACTACAGATTTCACTATGACGCTTTTAGCACCATAAATTTACATCACTAATTCCACCGCAAACAAGCTCTATTTGTTGCCCGTCAGTAAAACATATTTTAGTAGACTTTAATAGTTTTAATTTCTACCTAGAATAACCATCGAAAGAATCTGTCGAATCCGACGTGTGTATCAGAGTTTAACAGTTTCTCAATAAAATTTTTAATTTGCGGGTAAACAGACATACCTTTTTTGAATTCTTCTCAAGATTACTATCTCAGGCTCCCACGTTTCAAACCAGGATAATGCGGAGCCTCGAAGGGCCTTACCGACTTTTGCAATCTTCTCAAAGCTGCTCTATTTTAAAACTCCCAACTTATCGAAGCTTTCGCACCAGGCAGCCGTTCCGTCGTTGCTTTTGTCCGGATCAAAAATTGGCACCGCTACGTCGTTGCACCGCTTATTTGAAACCATTGCATTTTGGATGGTTTCCCACAGTCCTTTCACAAACTCCACATCCATATTGAAGTAGTTTGCACTGTAATATTTAAAAGAAAACTATTAACAAGAAGCACGGGCGATCGCACTTCCGATGTTATTTTCGTGGAAAATTAAACAAAGAACTAGGAGAAAGTATTGGTTCAGAAATAAACTTAAATTTTCCTATTAAGCTAAAAGGAGCTGTTAAAATCATTCTCGTAACAAGGGACAAACTTTGAAAGGAATTTAGCCAATTTAAAATAATATATGACGGAATATTAACACAAGAAGTTTTTTTTTGAAACTATGACGTCATCATTGATGAAGTTATTATTGCTTTCTTTAATAATAGGAATAACTTATTTACTCTAGACAGATTTTACTATTTACAACTAATAATTACTCACAATTAACAATTATTCACTATTTTCACAATTTAAAATTTCCGCGCTTGTGTTCACAATTAACAATTTACTAATTATTCACTATTGCTCACAATTTACAGTTCACAAATTCAACTTACAGTCCGAATAGCACAATAGCTCGAGCAAGAATGAACCTTGCCCCCGCAATCACGCGCCTTTAAAACCGAATGCGAATGTGCGCAAGCGATCCCCACTTCCTGTGCTTTGATAATGATTACCCTCAAATTGTTATAGCGACAACCCGCATTTAATTATATTTTGAATTAAAGCATTTTAAATTAATTATCTAGTAACAATAATCAACAAATTATAAAAATAAAGACACATATTAAAAAAAATCAAGTTATAACGTTATTTTAGGAGTTGAAATAACGTCCATTGATTTTTAACTCAATAATAATTGTTTAAGTTAATCGCCGATACGTCACTTATACTTTGTTGCACCGTTATACATTTATAGAAAATATCTTCACACATATTTTAACCAAAAGACACAATAAGCAAAAATAAGCAAGACATAATGAAAATATACCTAACTTGCTAACATGAAGAATAACCAAGTACTCAAACTAATTTCTTTGAATTCGGAGTATTTATAAGATTACCTCCAATGTCGCTTTTATTTTTTACATTTGAACAACTCTTAACACATCTAAGTATCTGAAATCAAATTATAAACATAATTAACTAAATAAAATCATAAAAATCATTATAAAAACAATTTTTACAGTTTTTTACATTAAATTTGCGGTATAAATATATTTCAGAAAACAAGTGTTATAGGTTTAAACGCATACAAGTAATAAGATAAAGCAACTAAAATCTTACTTAAAGACATTCAAAAATATGAAATACGTTTTTAAAATCCAAATAATTGTTTTTTAGACCATTTTAATACATTTATTGCAATATACATAACATAATATACATTAGAAACCGGAAGTAGTAACGAATTAACAATTCTTAAGACATTAAAAGTAATTCACAAATGGATTAAATACTTATTAATCGTAACTAACATTTAATTCTAAAATTATTATTATATTATTTGCCGAATTTTTATATATAAATTGATAAATTTACACTAAAATTTGTGGAAATTAAATTCAGTTTGTGGTGAAATGTGACACCGCATTTATTAATCTTTAAAAAAGACATGACCGGGGTTGCAGAGTCATAAGTTCTCTAAACTATATTTAATATTATACGACAGTGTAACTATTATATAATATAATATATATAAATAAATTAAAAATTATTCGGCCCAGTGGGTTTTTCTTTTACAATTTGTTTTGTCGTAAGTCAAAGATGTCAATTACCGAGCATGCTACATCGTGCTAGGAATGAAAATAAACGAAACTAACATTTAGGGGCCTTAAATAAATAATTTGCATATGAATATGATTTGATTCACAAAACCTTTAAATGTGACTATTTCTTCTTATTTATCTTAATAGTCCCAGCTGGGCTCGGGCTTTCTTCCATTGTAGGCAGGATTAGCCAAAATCTCCACGCTTGGCAGGCGGATCAGCGATCGTTGTACAGTTGAGATGTCTCCTACCTTTGACTCTACTTACCTTCGCTTATCTGAATATTACACACGAAAGTATAAACAAAAAATCTATGTAATTGATGATAATTATGTTATTTATATTAACATAAAAGCTTCATTATAATCCACTTTTGAACATATGCCTATCCCGTAGATTTCAGGTGTTTTCAGTAAGATGCTGCTACCCGTCTCCTGTTTCAGTTTTCCAGTATCATTCCTTAGAAAAAACCGCGGGATGATATGAGGTAGTGGATTCTCTTATGCCACCAGTAAAAATAAAAATTTTATAAATACTCTGTCTCCTTAAATTCTTAACGTAAACCACTGTTAGAAAGGTGTTTTTTCTATAATAGCCTATAATCGCCGATATACAAAACGGTTCGACAAAGATAAGAACATCCATGTATGAACCAAATATAATTGGGCTGCGCCGAAGACAAAAAAAAGATTGAATCATTTTATGTTTTCGTTGCTAAGTTGCATACATTTAATTACTAGTGAATTACACATGCATTATTCATTACAGTCGATGTAAGGACGATGTAAGGAGGACATAACTGTCACAACTTCAGTCGAATAGCGTTTTACAAATTATAATGCGTATAAAATACGGTGAATCTCAAAAGGTCATCTTTTATAAGTAGCTAAGAATAGTTTTAATACAGTTAACAGTAAATATCTATAATATATACTCATGGATTATTTTTATATATAA